TGCTCGGCAGGGAGTCTGCTTCTCCCTCTGACCCTCCTCCCTCTCATGCTCTCTGTCTATCATTCTCTCTCTCTCAAATAAATAAATAAAATCTTTAAAAAAAAAAAAAAAAGAAACGTGTCTGTTGTGGAAAATAAGGTATCTACACCAAAATTCATATTTTCCTAGAATTGTTACAATGTAATATCCTTCAGGTATCCTATTAGAAGACTCTGTCTCCCAGATTTTCTTTTTATTATTTTAATTGGTCCTTTGAAAAAATATCAACATATTTTTGTTGTCTATTGGCTGAATACATGGATCCTATGGCATATAAAAGGATTGCACTTAATGTAGTAAAGATCTCTGGCCTTCAATTATTTATTTTTGGAAACATTTTGGATCAGTTCCCATGGTTGGAGAAAGAGGTGAAAGGGGCCCCTCATCAGAGCTGTATATAAGCTTGTAGCACTCCAGCTTTGAAACTGGTGATAGAAAACAAAGTATCTTTCCCTTCTGTCTTCTAAGGACAATTTTTTTTTAATGTAATCCTGCCCATTAGACCTTATGGCAGTAAAAAATGAGCCATTCATATGAGTTGTCACTTGATTTATTTGTGTGTGTGTGTGTGTGTGTGTGTGTCCACCTCCCTGGAAATGTTGCTTCCCTCTTTCATTCTTTGGGATATTTAATAAGTGATATGAGGTTTGCCGGCTGTAGAATTTATTGGTATTAATCAGGGTTCTGGTACTTTCTAGCATAGTAGTCTTTCAGCTTTATTTCCCAATCTTACTGATTTTTTTTTAAGAGAAAGAGCAAGAGCCGGAGTGGGGGGTGCAGAGGGAGAGGAAGAAAGAGAATCCCAAGCAGGCTCCATGTCCAGCACAGAGCCCAACATGGGGCTCGATCTCACGACCCTGAAATCATGACCTGAGCTGAAATCAAGAGTCGGCCGCTCAACCGAGCCACCCAGGTGCCCCCTATAATGTTAATGTAGGCCTTCACCTTTGAAAGCACATATTTGTGTGGTGGTTATAGTTGCTGTTGGTTGCCAGTGAGTGCCTACTATTTTGGTATCAAACCAGGACCTTTATACACATTATCTCATTTTTACAACAGCCACTTCTATGAGAAGTGTTACTATACCCATTTGTAGTTTAGGAAACTGAGGCTCAAGAAGTTAACTTTTCAGGGTGGCTGGCTCAGTCAATAGAGCATGAGACTCTTGATCTCAGGGTTCAGGGTTCTCAGGGTTCAAGCCCCATGTTGGGGATAGAGATTACTTAAAATTTCTTTTTAAATCTTTAATTAAAAAAAAAAGTTAAAGAACTTCTATAGGTCATAAAAGGAACCAGGATTCTGCTCATGGCCTAATGGACTCATACTGCCTACTATTGCATGGTTTATGCCGTGCTGCCTTTTCAAGCTCATTCTCACCATAAACATCTTGTTATTTTTGAAGAATTTATGTACTTTTGTGAGCATAAATATATACATATGTGGGGAAGACAAAAAGACTCTATGCCAAAAATGTTAGCAGTGGTTATCTGGATGGTACATCTGTGGGTGATTTTTTAAATTTTTTCTTTGTATTTCTTTGTATTTTCTATACATATGAACATGTATTATTTTGTAATAAACATTTTTATGTTACATATTGAACAGTAATTGAGACATGACGTTTCTAATTTATTGTCGCTTATTTCTAGATCAATTGGCCTTATTTCCTCAGTGGAAATCTCATCACTACGATGTGGTAGTTGGTGTGTTGTCAGCTCGCAATAACCATGAACTTCGAAATGTGATAAGAAGCACCTGGCTGAAGCATTTAATACAACATCCGTCATTAAGTCAACGGTAGGTTTTCTTAGTTGGCACCTGCCTGATTAACTGAGTAAAAGTTCTGAAAAACCTCTTTTGGGATAGTCAGAGATGTTAATTTAGGCATGTGGCCTCTCTTCCTGGGAGAAATGGCTATTTCATTTTGCTTTCCCTCCACATAGTTGAGTCACAAAAGTAAATTTAACCAAGGTTCTTAGCCGAAAGGTAGTTAGGGGAGAATATATTCATTGGTTAACATATTAGTATTTATAGATACCTAGTTTGTTTTGTTTTTGCTTTGATTTAGAATAGTAATTCCTTTTTTTTTTTTGAGAGAGAGAGCAAGAGTGAGTGGGGGGAGGGGCAGAGGGAGAGGGAGAGAGAATCTTAAGCAGGTTCCACGCCCAGCTTGGAGCCCAGTGCAGGGCTGGATCTCACAACCCTGAGGTCATGACCTGAGCTGAAATCAAGGGTTGGACACTTAACCAACTGAGCCACCCAGGTGCCCCTAGAATAGTAATTCTTAAAGGGTTCTAGTCCAGAATAGGTCTCTGCTTAGACATGTTTGTGTCTAAATATGCTTTTCACTAACTTCACAGAGGCACACTGCATTTTTTCTGTTCTCTATATTTTTTTTTAAGTACACACTGTGTGTAGCTCTTTTTCCTGACTGCCCTTCAAGGACTGAGCTTTGGTAGCACATCTTATGTTGATATTAAATGGCTCAGTTATTGGTTAAGAGCCCAGGGCCTTAGTCTTCTCAGTGAGACCAGCCTCTGAAGATTATGTAGTGAGGGGCTAGGGAAGAGAAGCATGGGAGGTTGAACTTTTAGTTATGTGAGGACACTCCGGTGATGAGCAGTTCTAGATGGCCCTCTCAGGATTGCATTAAACTGGCATGTTTGGGACTGAGTAGCTATACAATTGCAGAATTTTCTTGTCATAAGTAGTGAACATTTATAGATTTCCTATCTTATTCATAGTGGCTTTCATTCCTTTTCAAGACAGATTTCTTTAGTTCATGAGCTCAGTGATAATAGTACCTATTACCCAGGAAATGAAAGGCCTCAGACTCATCACTGCTGTCAGAACCTCCTCCAAAACCTGCACTTTCTAGGTAGCCTTTCCTGTCTCGGAAAATAATGAGCCCTCTCTACCAGTTGTTCAGACAGAAAATCCTGGTGACTATGTTATAAATGAGGGAGTAAGTCCCCCTTTTGGGTCTTTAAGGATCTCTCCAGCATGGTCACAGAAGTGACACTGGGAGAGGCATATGAAATTAGATTTATTATACTCACAAGTCCTAGAGAGGGAGGCACAGTATGCTACACAGGGGGCAGCCATACAGGAGGAGAGTCCAGGGAGCAGGCTCAACCAAGCAGGTGGGGAGCCGACAGAGCGTGGGGCCCAGTGGGCACGTGCCTTTACTGAGGGTCATGGTGGAGTATACAAGCAGAAGGCATGAGGGGACCTCGTTGTGTTAGAGTGTCACTAGGTCAGTCAGGGGAGGGCCACAGGGGGATCTCGTGGCAGGGACCAGCCTTGTCACTCTGGTGTATCAGGTCACCTGAGGAGGGTGCTCGTAGCCTGTTTGTGAGGAGATGTTGAGGCACCAGGAAAATAGGAAGTTTTAAGAATTTATAATACATTGTTACCTTGATTTCTTCTGTCTCTCATCCAGCCCATCAGCCTGTTTTCTTGGCGCTATACCTTTAAGTCATATCCAGGATCCACCCCTTTACCAGAACTGTCAGAAGCACCACCCTCTCCCCATCAGGCCACAGTACCTCTCACTTGGAGTCTTGCAGAAGCCTCTATCTGGATTTCCTGCTTCTGCCTTTATTCCCCTATATTTTATTTTCCATGCAGCAGCCCGAGTGCTGCTTTTAAAATTCGTCAAATTACGTCCATTTTCTGCTCATACCCCTCCGTTGACTTCTCTTTAGCTCAGAGTAAAATGCCAAGTCTTTCCTATGGTCTTTGACCTTATCTACATCTACTTGCCCTACACTGGCACCCATACTGCTAGTGTACGGACTAGTGCTTCCATGCACTAAATGTGCTTCTGCCTCGGGGCCTTTGCACTTACTGTCTCCCCTGTCTTTATCACTCTTCCACTGGATATCCTCATGGTTCAGAGTCTCACGTTTTTCAGGTCTCTGTTTAGATGTCACCTTAGCAGGAGGCAGCCCTATATTAAATAGCACCTAACCCCTTTTCCCTCTCTGTCCTCCCTTATTGACTTTATTTTCCTTTATAATACTTATTTCCAACTGGCATGTTTATTATATTTAGCTTTATAAGTTGTCTTTCCCCACTAGAATATAGTTTCATGAGCATAGGGACTTTAACTTTTTTTTTTTTAAGATTTTATTTTGAGAGAGAGAACGTGAGTAAGCAGGGGGAGGGGCTGAGGGAGAGGGAGAGAGAATCTTAAGCAGGCTCCACACACTGGGCGTGGAGCCCAACATTGGGCTTGATCCCACGACCTGAGATCATGACCTGAGCCAAAACCAAGAGTTGGATGCTCAACCGACTGAACCACCCAGGCACCCCGGGAATTTAACTTTTTCACTAATGTATTCCCAGTACTTAGAACCTAACTTGGCACAGGGTAAGGCACTCAACAACTATTGAGGGAATGACTCAGACTAAATGTCATGAGGAAAATTAACATTCAGATAGTCACCAATAATTTATTTGCCATCATAGCATTACTGCTTTAAATTTAGGAAGCTTGGTGATTTGTTTTATAAAAATGATGGGATAGGAACTTCCTGAAGATCTTCTGCGTGTAGATGGTGTCAGCCGGAGCGTGAGTTGCTGCATGAGGACAATGGCCAAGAACAAACTTAGAGGGCAGAAGTCCAGGAATGTATTTCATATAGCCAGCCAAAAAAACTTTAAGTCTAAAAACAAAGCAAAAC